GCGCGCGCACCGTGCGTGTGTTTTCTCGTCTGTGATGTTGACCAGTTCGGCAAAGGTATCTATTTTGCGGATTTGGTCAGCAAGTCTGCGCAGTATTGCTACACAAATAAATCGAACCCCGTTGGACTGATGCTTCTGTCAGAGGTGGCTCTTGGCGAAATGTATGTCAGAAAGCAAGCCGAGGTAATACAGTCCTTCCTGCCACCTGTGTGCTGGTTCATTCCTCCTCTTGAGTCTTGACATGATTTTTTGTTGTTCAAATGTCAACAAACTTGTTTGCATATTTTTTGAAATCCTCGACCCTCACGGTGCCGAACTTTGTGGTCGGGCTCTAATTTCCGGGTAAACTGTGAGGATCCCGGACTCGACTACTTCTTCATTAATGGTTGTTGATGTGTGTGGAAAAAAAAAAAAAAAAAAAAAAAAAAAAAAAAAAAAAAAAAAAAAAAAAAAAAAAAAAACTTTGTCGGGCAGCGATCCAGTTCCTGCAGGATAAGATGAAGTTTAAGAACTAAGTGACGGTGGACTGTTGACTTGCAAAAGGAAAACATGAGCTTGCTTTAACTAAGTTTATGCCGATTGATGATCGTCAGCCGTCAAGATGATGACGTATCTGGACCGTTGCCAGGCGGTCAAGCCGAGTCTGCGCTGATCCAGCGGACACGTTCATCTTGATGAATCCTCACTGCTGAAGTGATCCTTCTCCGGTCAGTGGACAGCTGTTCATCGTTCTTTTTTTTCAAGCGGTGCCTGCTGGTGGTAACCTGAGCGTAAATGGTCCCGGGTGCGGGTGGCCAGCCCGCGCAATGGTCATGGTTTCCTAGCATGAACAGAGCGCCAGCGGAGGGCTGAGCCTGAATGGGCACTTCCACAAGTCTGTGGCAATCAGATGAAATAAAAGTACTTTTCATAAAAAAGTAAGAGGGGGGGGGGAGAGAATGGATATGAAGCGACCTGCTCCTCCTACCCAGTCCGGTCGCATGAATGAATAATTGGACGGATCGGCTGAATGGATATGAAGCGACCTGCTACTCCTACCCAGCAGTCCGGTAGCATGAATGAATAATTGGACGGTTCGGCTGCCGACATAAGTAAGATAGTAGTTGCAAAAAGAGTTCTTGAAGTGTAATTGTTACATCTTCGACTCACACAGGTCCTACCGGACCCGACTTAGGGCCGGAGGGACACACCAGGGCCTAAAGGCCCGACCTTTGGGGTTTACAGGCCCTAAAGGCCTGATTTTGGACTATCACCCATCGGGTAGGCCCAAACGACACTTCGTTTGGGCCTGGCGGCGCTCTTGAAGCTGCCGCCCGCCGATTGAGGCTGAACCGTCCATCTGGACGGTTCAGGGTCTGGCCTGGCCTCGCAGCATTGAGGCCAGACCAT